AGTCATTTTCACTCCTCTCTTCTCACTTCCCTAATGGAAAGATTAGGGAGATAATATCAGTGAGGTGCTATCTAAATATGAAATGAGGTATGAAGGAAATAAATATCAGAATGTGCCTGTCAGAGTCTGCTGATCCTCTCAACAATATGTTTTTCTGTAACCTTCAATTTCCTAAGACTGGTCTGGGAAGTAATAATACAAGTCACATTCTCCTTCAGCTCTCCAGAGCCCTCTTAAGGGGGCCGTTCTGTTAATCTTGTTGCTAGCATATTTTCAACCACTTGTCAGTGAACAAGTCCAAAGCACCTACTATGGTCCAAGTGATTGACAGATTAGAAGCTGAGGATTTAGAAATGAGATCTAGACTCCCTGTGCTCAAAAAAGTTACAGTTTCCTAGGAAAAGAATCCAAACAATAAGCATTGCAATACAAGGGAACTTGAAAAGGTTCATGGGAAAATATGTATTATGAAAATACAATGCAAGGGTCTCAAATCTTTTTTTACACAAAAATGAATTTATCTTTTGATTCCATTTCCCAGGAGCTTTTGAAATATCCTTGTACCTGTGGGATAGATGTCTGCTAAGGACACTATGCTGACCCAGGGAAGCAGAGAAGCATTGCCAGGTTCAGTATAGAGGGCAGTGTTCTTGAGGAAGTGACTCCGCCATTATGCCCCAAAGGTTGAGTTGGGCAGGTTGAAAGGAGGGGAATGTGGAAGAGGAAAAGAAGAGGAAGTACCTGGCCCTGCACGAAGTGTGGATCATCATTTGCTGGGTTCAGGGGCTGCCAAAAAGAGATCACGAGTGGGGAATGCTTGTGCCAGCCTAGGAAGCAATGGGGCTACAAGACCAAAGAGAATGCATTTTGCAAAGAGGTTAGGATGTTGTATGAAAGAGTTTGTGTTTTCCCTTTGAAAGCGTGAGAGAGACATTGGATGGTTTTAACAGGAGACTTGTTTGATTAGAAAGATGGCTTTGGCTTTGCAAATATTTGCCTTCCTTTGAGGCCCACTATTTGTGTTCTTACAGGTCTTAGCGAGGTTCATGTCTGACCTCTAACCTGAGCTGTCCAATTAATTCAGTAGTAACTAGTCACATGTAGCTATTTAAATATAAATCTAAGTTAATTAAACTTAAATAAAAAGTGTGTTTCTTCACATTAACCTACATAATCACACTATCACATTTCAAGGGCCGATTCTTTCTTTCTTTTTTTTAAAAAAAATATTTATTTATTTGAAAGGCAGAGTTACAGAGAGGCAGAGGCAAAGAAAGAGAGTCTTCATCCTGGTTCACTCTCCAAATGGCCGCAATGACTGGAGCTGCACTGATCCGGAGCCACAAGCTTCCTCCAGGTCTTCCTACACAGGTGCAGGGTTCCAAGGACTTGGACCATCTTCTACTGCTTCTCCTGGCCATAGCAGAGAGCTGGATTGGAAGTGGAGGAGCCGGGACATGAATTGGTGCCCAGATGGGATGCCCACACTGCAAGAGACAGCTTTATCTGTTATGCCACAGCGCCAGACCCAATATGTTCATTTCAATGGCCAGTAGCTACTGTGTAGGACAGGACAGGTGTAGAACATTTCTATCATCACAGAATGTCCTACAGGATGATGCTGCCCTCTTCCTGAGACAGTACAGTACATTGGTAAGGTGCAGAAATGAACTAACATCTCTGAGTCCCAGTTTTCTTGTAATACACACTGCTGATATTGAGACTTAAATCAATACATGCAAAGAGGGTAGAGTAGTGTCCAGTAAGTGATGTACACTCAGTAAATGCTGTTAGCATGCATTTTATAAAGCCTGACCTTTGCTTGCCTATTTGAATCTGATTTATAGTGTAGCTCTTACATTCAAGATCTGTATTTGATATTATTCTTTGGGACCCAAATTCAATTTAACAATCACTGTCTGATCAACTCTACCTGTTTTTTCCCCAGCTATTTCTGCCCATATTTGAGCCCAAATTGTAATCCACTTAGTATGGGGCCCAGCATTGACAGTGAGAGGTAAGCACATTACAGTATTGGCTTCTTATAAAGCAAAACTTCTGAGATTGTCTTGGTGAATTTCCTTTGTTTGATCCCAAGCCCCTGGAATTGGGCCATTTTTCAAACCCAATAGTAATTGTTTCCTATCATTTGAAGTATCCTCACAAGCTAACACATCCTGAATTTTCAATGGTGGTGCTTCCTAAAAGATATGTTAATCTTCAATATAACATTTCAGAATTGTAATACAATGGCTTGGAGCTGCTTGGTAAGTTGCTTGGTACTATGACTAATGATGATAAAAAGTATAAAATCACTTCAAAATGGCTTAAATAGAGATCATATATGTTTCTAGGTCTAAATTTCTCTTTTCTTGTACCCATTCTCATCTATTCTGGTAAAATTATAGTTTTTTGTTTATGATGACCTTTTCTTAAACAATCCTTTCTTCTTCCTTGCCAGAGCTATTTTCATTTAAAACTTGCAACTTCTGAACTGGAGACCGTGTTATAACATTGCTAGTTTCTCCTAACTCTTGGTATGGTAGTCTTTATAATTTTTAAAAAGTCACCTAACAAATATTTTCTAATAAAGAATGTTTGAGTTAGGCAATTGTTTGGGGAATGACCTTGTGCTTCATGGCAGCTATCTGAGCCATGCCCTGTTTGATGTGTTGAGTATAAAGTTTATCTTTAGCAATTGTCTGCCCCCTTCCGTGAGCTAGCTCTGCCCAGGTCACCTGAGTGTTACTCTCCATAGACTTACTGCTGAGGCACCAGTGGCTGTTCTAGGTGAGGTGGATCAATCCCAAATGCTTACCATGATGACTCGATGAGAGGAAATGAGTGAAGCCAGCAGCGTCAGTGGGGATTGTGGGGACTGTGGTGAACTAGAAAACAGATCTCTCATCCAAATAGGGAACCATCACTCCATCCCAGTAGATTATTGCCCAACCATCATTTCAATCTGCAGAGTTTTCAAGAGAAGCCTGAAGTCCAGATTAAGTTAAAATGTACAATATGAACAAATAATCGCACAGATCAAGAAAAACAAGTGATCCTGTTGTGCTTTTGAGACCTTCCCCTCTACTCTAAAATGCCTGTAACATCAACACACACCTGTCTCCAATCATATCTATCTTTGCTGGGATTAGAATGAGTAAAAGAAAGGACTGGTCATAAAACATACAAATAATACATCCTAAATTAGACATAATTAGTTTCAGAGTAGCATTAGAAATGGATTAAAGGGCAGGATGTTAGTCACAGAGATTCTTTAGTGGAAATAAAAGCAACAACCACCAGAAGACAAATTTTAAAGTTTTAAAAGTTTTAGTTGTTTGGAGTGGTGGTGGAGAGAAAGAGGGAGAGGGAGAGAAAGACGTTCCATCTACTGCTTAATTCACAAAAGCCTGAAACAATGGGACTTTGCTAGGACTGAAAGTGAGGTTCAGGATCATAACCTGGGTCACCCCGCTGCGTGGCCGGAACCCGGTCACTTCAGCCGTCACTGATGCCTCCAGGGAGCTGGAGTCAGGAGAAAGAGGCAAGGATGGAACCTTGGGACTCTGATGTGGGTTGCAGGCATCTTAACCACCAGACTAAATAAATACACTGCTCACAAATTTTACATTTCACAGATCTCTTTTCATGGCCAAGTCAAAATGTACTATTTCAATTAAGTTCTACATGTGATGTAATGGCGATTAAAATGAAACATGCTACACATTTCTTCTTCTACTTGTATTTTTATGCTGTCCTTGTTCACAAGGATTTATTGGAATGAATGATGAGTCATACATGGAGGAAAGCAGTTATCTCCTGCCATTCTGTCATGACAAGTGAATGATTCTGGTTTGTAGATGACAAAAGTCAGGAACAAATTTACTGGGTAGGGTGCTGATGGCAGAACTAGAAACAATATTTGTATCTTTCTAGTCCTCCTCTCTTAAGCTTTCTGCTAAATTTTGGACTTATCCTGAAGACAAACTTTTAAGAAAGCTTGGAATCTCTTTGCCATAGTTACACATGAAAGATCATACAAGTATACACAGAATAGGAGTTGATGAACATAACCTCAAGTTTTAAAATTTCTTGTATGTGTGGTATATTTCAGAGCCTGGTTATAGTTTCCAAATATATTCTCTAAGTCAATACAAATGTGCTCCTTTAACGCAATTTATTTTTGCAATCTAATTATCAAATACAGAAATTTGTGCCGTTAGCAGTAGTTTATCTGCACAGTTGCAAACAGAATACACCACTCATTCAGAACTCTCCTAACATCTTTGAATACCTAAAAATTTGCTTATTTATCTCTTTTTTTTTTCCTTAAGCAGGGGTAAAGTCTGATTGTACTCTAACCTTAAGAAATATCCTGTCAAACTGGACCTCTGAAGACCTAAGATATATTTAAGGTAGAATATACTGACTGTCAGATTTTTGGAATAAGCAATTATGCATTTTTTTAGATGACCAGGGAGAGGTGGAGGGAGAAACAGCCAAACGCTAGGATAAATTATGCTTACTTCCTGCATTGAAGTGAGCAAACTGTGGGCATGAATCTGACAGACATTAATTTGAAATTTTAACCCCAAGGGGTAACAAATGAGAATGCGCTGCTGCATTGGTTAAAATAAAATGGAACAGCAGGACTCCATTCACTGAAATAAGAAAATTTCAAGCTGTGGACTCAGTTTAGTTCTGAATTATACATTTTAGAATACAGTTAAGTCAAATATTTGAGTATCTGTAAAACTAAGCTTTGCCATTTCAATTACAATCTATTAAGTGTCTGTGTTTTACAGGGCTGATACCAGGCGAGCTGTGCCTCTTTGACTTCCGGAAGGCAGTTCTTCAAAGGGAACTGGGCTGATGGTGCTAATGTGGGCACTAGTGAGAACTTTGTTTTTGGGATGGAGCTCAGAAAATAAGAGGTAAAACATATATCCTCCAGGAAACCATTTTTGGAATGAATCCATATTCTTTAAAGGTCATTTTTATGTAATGGATGTTGAATGCTTCCTGCTACGGATGGTTTTATGACTCTTGGTTTCAGAGACTTAAAGACGTTACTACAGGTTGTCCTCCAAATGATTTCTTTGTATTCTGGAAGAGTAGTGGCTGGCAGGCTGACCAGAATCAGGGCTGTGTGTGTGTGTGTGTGTGTGTGTGTGGTAATGGTATTTTTGTCAGCTTATGAGCACTCAGGCAACCCCTCTTCAACTGAAGGCACATTCTCATACCACATTGTATACTGCCATCACATTTAACATTGTTCCCAAAGAAACATGGGTCTTGAGATTTTACTTGGGAATCCTAGAGCAAATTTTACCGAAACTCTGGCACAGAAAACAGACAATCCCTGACCTAAATGTCAATGATGCCTGCAGTTTTTTTGTAGAAAAGATTCCCAAGGAGTGAGCAATGGGAAGGGAGTGTTCCAGCTGGGTGACAGGTTCCCAGCACGCAGTGTTTGTGTGATAGGAGACAAGATAAGGACCAGGAAGAGGATGAAACTTAGTTTAAAACTTAAATGGTTACTATGTGTATTATTTATTTCTCATAGTTACCCATTGCATTTGTTAGTTATTGCTATGTAGCAATATGTAATAAATCATGTACTATATTGTTCATGAGCCTTCAGATTGACTTGGCGGTTCTTCTGGTTTTATGTAGATTCTCTCATTCATCTGCGGTGAACTGCCGTTGGACATGTGGCTTTGCTGATCTTGACTGAGCTCTCCGGCATGTTTGGGAATGAGATGCAGTTGGTTTGTCTTAGATTTCCTGGGCTTGAGTCCATGTTCCCTTAACATCCCTCCAACAAGTTAGCCTGTACATGTTCTCACAGCTATGGTAGAGGAACAAAAGCAATCAATGAAGATGTAAAGAAATGACTTACCGAGCTTCTGCGCCTGTCACACTTGCTTACTTGATTGGCCACAGTGTACACAAGGTATACTCCAGGAACAAGTACAGAATACTCCTTGTCCTATTGAAGGAGGGAAGAAAGTTGACCATCGTGTACTAAATCTACTATAATGTGCGATATGAATTATTACACTCCTGTTTTACAGAAGAAGGAAGTGAGACAGAAAGGAGTTAAATCACTTGTCCCAAAGCCAACACAAAATGAGCAGCAGGGCCAGGATCATGGTCACACCCGAGGAGGCTCTCAGGCTCCCTCCAATGTACACGTAAGATGTCTACAATTGCCCAATGTTCCTACCTTCCATCTTCCTTCTACATATTCTGCAGATGTTATTAGCAGCCTGAACTTTCTTGAGAATAGCTCTGACCATTCCTTGTTCTTATCAGAGTATCTCTAGGACTCCCCATTGCCTCCATGATCAGTTCTTAATCTAGTTTGGTCTTGAGACCTTCCACTTCAGAAATCACTGAGGAGCTCTCGGAGCTTATGCTAATGTGGATTGCATCAATCAACATTTGCCACGATAGCAATTCAAACAGAAATATATGATTATTAATTTATTTAAAATTAAGCTTTTAAATATTAACACAAATAATACATTGTACTCAAAATAGGTGTATTTTACAAACTTAAAAAATGAAGAAGAAAAGTGGTGGCATTTTATCTACTCAGAGTTAATGGAACACAGGTGACTCCTCACACAAGCACACAGTCTGGTATGATATTGCATGCTGCATAGCCTCTGGAATACCCCACAATGCACTATGAGAGAATGGGAGGGGAAAAGGTAAATAAAATTATAATAAATTTTTATAAAAATAATGCTGACTTAGTGAGTTTCTTTAAAAGAACAGTGACACCAGGACTTCCTAGACCTGACCTGGCTTTAAGGACTCTCATCTATAGCATCAATTGTGGAATTTTCTGCTTCCTTCCTTTTTTTATAAAAAAAAATTCATTTATTTGAGGGATAGAATTACAGACAGTGAGAGGGAGAGATAGAGAGTAAGGTCTTCCATCCTCTGTTTCACTCCCCAAATGGCTATAACCGCTGGAGGTAGGCCAATCCAAAGTCAGGAGCCAGGAACTTCTTCTGGGTCTCCCACATGGGTTCAGGGGCTCAAGGACTTGGGCCATCCTCCGCTGCTTTCTCAGGCCGTTAGCAGAGAACTGGTTCAGAAGAGGAGCAGCTGGGTCACGCACCAATATAGGGTGGTGGCTCCACAGGCAGAGGCTTAGCCCACTATGCTGCAGTGCTGGCCTCTCTGCTTCCTTTCTTAAAGATTTTCATCACTTGGAACTGCTTTATTCCTAAGATCACGGCCTTCACATTTGCCCTCTTGCCATCTACTAACTATATAACTTTGGATGGTCACATAAACCTCCCCCCACCTCTGGCTTCAGCATGCTCATGTCTAATGAGTTTCCCATGGAAATGAACTGGATGCTCTAGGAAAGGCTAACAGTGACACGTATGGTACACTGTAAGCGCTTAGTAAAATGTTACAGTCTGTCACTATTTTGTTCCCATAACAAAATCCTTGAGGTTGGGTACTTCATAGGAGGAACATATGTTTGTTTAGCTCACACTTTTGGAGGCTGAAAGTCCAAGGTTGGGTGGCCTCATGTGTTCAGTCTCTGGAGAGAGCCTCCTTGTGGGTGGCATCGTGGTGGTGGAGCACACATTGATGAGGTCACATAACAAGAGGAGCCAGAGATTCAGTGGCTCTGTTTGTAACTCACAGATCTTACTCCACCTGCCAAGATGATGTCCTGATGACTCAATTACCTTCCTTGAGGCCCAGTCTCTTTAAGTTTCTTCCATATCAAGAACGAGCCTTCAAAGTAGGAGGTACCATTCTTTGAAGGGAGGACAGAACTTCCACTTTGACTGTGGCCTTGTCTAAGGTAAGATCAGAGTTGGTGAATTCAAGAGGCTTCCATAGCCTTGGCAGCTCATGACAAGAGCCTCAGGTGATTACTGACGTCATAAATATGAGTGTCAATTGTTAAGTCAACAACAGGAGTCACTGCACTTACTCCTCATGTAGGATCTCTGTCCTTAATGTGTTATACAATGTAAATTAATGCCCTAACTAGTACTCAAACAGTACTTCATACTCAAACAGTTCTTTATACTTTGTGTTTCTATGTGGGTGCAAACTGTTGAAATCTTTGCTTAGTATATACTAAATTGATCTTCTGTATATAAAGATAATTGAAAATGAATCTTGATGTGAATGCAATGAGAGAGGGAGCGGGAGATGGGAGGGTTGCGAGTGGGAGGGAAGTTATGGGGGAGAAAAAGCCACTGTAATCCAAAAGGTGTACTTTGGAAATTTATATTTATTAAATAAAAGTTTTAAAAAAAGAAAGATGCTGCAACAAACATTACAGTGGCTGGGCGAAATTAATATAAAAAAAGTGGACAGTCAAGCGCCGCGGCTCAATAGGCTAATCCTCCGCCTGCGGCACCAGCATCCCGGGTTCTAGTCCTGGTCAGGGCACTAGATTCTGTCCCAGTTGCTCCTCTTGCAGTCCAGCTCTCTGCTGTGGCCTGGGAGTGCAGTGGAGGATGGCCCAAATGCTTGGTCCCTGCACCCCATGGGAGACCAGGAGAAGCACCTGGCTCCTGGCTTTGGATCAGCGCAGTGCGCCTGCCACAGCTCACCGGCCGCGGCTGCCATTTGTGGGGTGAACCAACGGAAAAGGAAGACTTTTCTCTCTGTTTCTCTCACTGTCCACTCAACCTGTCAAAAAAAAAAAAAAAAAAAGTGGAGAAAGAACACCCTCAGGGGAAAGCTGCAGGGGAAACTGCTGTGGGAGTTCCTGCGAAAGCAGTAAAAATGGCCCGGACCTGTGTGGACATCACAGACACACAGCAAGATACAGTGAGACACAGAAGACCCAGCAGCTTGGATCCAGGGAAGAAAGCACCCACCCTGGCAAGCCAGGTGAGATTGGACTGCACGGCTCATGCTACTGTTGATACAATGGGAGGGAGATTTTAGTGAATTGAGCATTTTTGAGTCCAGCCTGAATCCCCCAGGACAATGGGGTGACTGCTCATCCAGAGGTCATGGGAAAAAATGTAGTGTATCTCACTTTCTCCCCTTCTCCCTCCTACAACAGTGACCTGCAGCCAGCAGTGGGAGGGCTGGAACCATTTTTGGACATAGGCAAGTATGGACTGCTCCAGCTTTGGTGGGTGCACCCAGCAATTATTAGGGTTGTCCTCCACCCAATCAGTGGGGGCAACCACAGCAGTTGAGGAGCAACTGACGAGGATAATCTCCACTGTGCCAACTGCACCAACCGGGCAACGAGAGAGGAGGAGGAGCCATCCCTACAGAAGGGAACTGACACCTGCGGAACTCCCGTGTGTGCCCAGCACAACTGTGAAGTGAGCAGGGCTGTGGCTGGCGGGTATTGTACACGCCTGTGATCCAGAGATCTCACCGGAGAGAAAAAACCCATGTTCCCCAATGGTGTCTATACTTGTCAGGAGGACCAGACTCAATCCAGTGGGCTGGAACAATGAGGATAGCAGCCCTGGGAGCACCTCAACCCCTCGGCAGTCAGGACGGGCCAGTGGGGTGGAGTGGCCCCACTTGCACTCCTTGACCCTGATAGCCCTGGGAGCTGAGAGTGAGAAAACACTGTGACTGTGTGAGAGGAGGCAGGGTGCTGCAGTGCACTCTCAGAGCTCCTTGGTTGCCTAGAGAAGCTCATTGCAAAGGGAGCCACACTCACAGGAAGGACTGCGCAGATCCTATGTGTGGTTCATATGGTGGTGTGCTTGACTGTTGAACACACTGGGAGCTAACACCTGGATGTTCCTCAGTTTGATGGAGAAGGGGTGGTTGCACCAATGGAGGGGACCATTCCTCTCCATTCAGTCACTCAGAGGAAAGCTACCACATCCAACTTGGGTGTTACCCTGGATACTAACCCCATCCTGGAACACTGACCAGAGCTCTCTGGCCACACCCACCACACACCTCTTGGTATTCACTGAAACTGTAGATGTTTCACTAAGCTGCAGAGGCATAGCTCAAAGATAAAAGCCATCAGAGGAAAAAAATCTACAAATGCCTAAAAATAAATGCAGAAATTCAAGAAACAAGAATAAGGAAGATACTATGACCCTCTGCCCCCACCAAAGGAACACAACATTTCAATATAGAATGTGAAAATGAAGAGATTAAGGAAATGCAAGATATGGAATTCAAAAAAATAATCATAGGATTAATCAAAAGCAATCAGAAGAAATCCATGAACTAAAGAAAACCATATATGATATGAGTGAAAATTTTTCTCATGAAATTGAGATTTTAAAGAAAAATAAAAATGAAATACTAGAAATGAAGAATTCAATAGATCAAATAAAAATGCAGTGGAAAGCCTTAACAACACTGTTGGTTAGGCAGAACAAAAATATTCAAGTTAAAAGGCAAATCTCTAGAATTTTACAGTCAGACCAAAAATAAGAAGAAGAAATTAGAAACTTAAAAACAGTGTTGGAGAGCTATGGGATACTATCAAATGACCCAACATATGGATCTTCAGAGTGCCTGAAGCTGTGGAAAGAGAGAAGGGACTAGAAGGCCTATTTAGTGAAATAATTACAGACGAGATCAGGCGTGTTCAGGGTTGTATGGCCATAGACGAAATAATTACAGAAATTTTTCCTAATTTGTAGAAAAAAGTAATTTCCATTTACAAGAAACACACAGAACTCCTAACAGATACGACCAGAAAAGATCTTCACCATGACACATTGTAGTCAAACTCTCCACATGAAGCATAAAGAAAAGTTTCTAAAATGTACCCTAGAGAAATGCCAGATAACATTCAGAGGATCTACAATTAGACTCACAGCCAACTTATAAACCCTATAGGCTAGAAGGGAATGGAGAGACATAGTCTAAGTCTTAAGAGAAAAAAACTGTCAACCCAGAATACTGTACCTGCAAAGCTCTCATTTATGAATGAAGGTGAAATAAAGACCTCCTGTGACAAACAGAAATTGAAAGAATTTGCCACCACTTGTCCAGCCATACAGAAGATGCTAAAGGATGTGCTACACACAGAAACAGAGAAAGAAATTCATCATCATGAAAGAATGCGAAGACAGAAAATTCCCCAGTAAAAGTAGGAAAGAAATTAAAAAAAATTATAGGACTATTCACGGAGAAATGACAGGGCCAAGCTGCTAGTTATCAATAGTCACCTTGAATGTAAATGGCCTCAGCTCTCCAGTTAAAATATACAGACTGGCTGAATGGATTAAAAAACAAGACCCATCTAGTTGCTGCCTATAAGAAATGTACCTCACCAACAAAGATACATTTAGACTGAAAGTGAAAAGATAGAGAAATATATTCCATGCTAATGGAAAAAAAGGGCAGGTGTATCCATCTTAATATCAGACAAAATATACTTTAACACAAAAACTGTTATAGAGACAAAGAAGAACACTATATAATGATTGAGAGATTAATACATCAGAAAGATGTGACTATAATAAATGTATATGCACCCAATTACAGGACACCTTGCTATTTAAAAGAACTCTTAATGGATCTAAAGGAGATAATAGACTCCAATACAATAGTAACAAGGGACTTCAACACCCCACTTTCATCAATTGATAGATTAACCAGACAGAAAATAAACAAAGAAATAACAGAGTTAATTGAAACTATGGACCAGATGGACCTAACTGATCTCTACAGAACTTTTCACCCCACAGATGCAGAATACACATTCTTCTCAGCAGTGCATGGAACTTTCTCTAGGATAGACCATATGCTCAGCCATAAAGCAAGTCTCAGCAAGTTCAAAAAGATGAAAACTATACCATGCACCTTCTCTGATAGCAATGGATTGAGGCTCAAAACCAATAACTTGAGAATCTCAAGAACATATGCAAACATGTGGAGGCTGAACAATGTGCTCCTAAATGAACAGTGGGTCATAAAAGAAATAAAAAGAGAAATAAAAAAAAATTCTGGAAATGAGTGAAGATGACAATATCTCATATAAAAACTTATAGGATACAGCAAAAACAGTTTTAAGAGGGAAGTTTATAGCAATTAGTGCCTACATCAAGAAACTGGAAAGTCACCAAACAAATGAGTCATCAGTGCATCTCAAGGACCAAGAAAAACAACAACAAACTGAATCCCAAATTATTAGGAGTAAAAATAATTAAAATTAAGGAAAAAATAAACAAAATTCAAACCAAGAAAAATACAAAAGATCAATAAATGACAAATTGTTTTTTTTTAAATAAATAAAATTGACACACAATAGGCCCAACTCAACAAACCAAAGAGGGGGATACCCAAATCAACAAAATCAGAGATGAAAAAGAATATGTAGGGGCCAGCGCTGCGGCTCAGTTGGTTAATCTTCCACCTGCGGCGCTGGCATCCCATATGGGCACTGGGTTCTAGTCCCGGTTGCTCCTCTTCCAATCTAGCTCTCTGCTGTGGCCCAGGAAGGCAGTGGAGGATGGCCCAAGAGCTTGAGCCCCTGCACCCGCATGGGAGACCAGAAGGAAGCACCTGGCTCCTGGCTTTGGATCGGCGTAGTTCCCGCCGTATCGGCCATCTGGGGGTTGAACCAATGGAAAAGGAAGACCTTTCTCTCTGTGTCTCTCTCTCTCACTGTCTAACTCTATCTGTCAAATAAATTAAAAAAAAACATAAAACAAAAACCAAACAAACAAAAGAATATGTAAAAACAGATACCACAGAAATAAAAAAGAATCATCAGGAATCACTACATAGAATTGTATGTTAAAAAATCTGGAAACCTAGAAGAAATGTATAGGTTCCTGACACATACAACCTACCTACACTAAGTCATTAAGACATAGAATACCTAAACAGAGCAATAACCAAGAT